TTTAAATTATTTTAAACTAGTGGAATAAATTCTAAACTTTTCTTCAACCGCTAGTTTAAAATAATTTAAATAAATTAATTTAAAAAAAAATGGTTTATCACTTTATTGTTCTCTCGCATGGAAATAACGGCCAGCACGAGGATATGGAATATTTACAACATGACATCCAGTTAGAATTTCATAAGAAATATCCAATTTTGGATTCAATTCTTCCCGATGATCAATTATTTGCTCTGCGTCCATCATCAAACTCCAAGGACACACATCATGGAGTGGCAGTTGGTGGTAAGAGAATGGCCCAAGAAATTATTGAATATTTCAGGAAGGAAATTTTACCCAAATTTACTGAAAGAAACAAGAAGGTTAAATTTTCCCTAATTGGTCATTCGTTAGGAGGTCTCTATTGTAGATATGCTGCCTATGTGTTGATGAATGAATATGAGGATGAATTCTCTAAATATTTTGAGCCAATTGGGTTGACAACTATTTGTTCTCCTCATTTGGGATCGAAGAGAACTAGCAGTGGAGGATGGACTGATTTATATGGAAATGTTGTGAGTACAATTGCAAATACATATGTGGGACACTTTCTTGGTGATACTGGTAAGCAATTGGCTTTGAGTGATCCATTGCTGATGGAGATGTCAGAACCAGAATCGAAATTTATATCTGCATGGAATAGTTTCAAATTCAAGACACTGATTGGAAGTACTCATTACGACATTTCAGTTCCTCATTCAGGGGCTTGCATCTGTGCAAAATCTACATTCCAACCTCCACAGAAAGGTCCTATTGAGTTTTCAATTGTTGGACACAGTGGATTTGATTCAGATAATTATTCAGATATTTTCACACAAGATAAGGAGTTAGATTTTCAAGTTGAGGACTTTGATGAATCAATTGAATTCATTCCAGATTCCAGTAATGAAAATTTAATAAGCACCAAAATGCTCAATAATTTACAAAAGCATGTAAATTGTAGAAGAATTCACATTCAATTTTCCTATCCATCATTCTATCATTGCATGAATGGTTTTGTCCATGACGTGGTCATTAACAAGGTAAAGATGCATTATTGGATAAACAAGAATGAGAATGCTGCCATTGATTGTGTTAATACCATTGCTAGAATGGTCATTACTGATCATTCCCAATAAGTTCAAAAGAAATTGTTTCAGGAAACGAAATTATTGTAAATATTAATTA